TGTCACTTGTAACTAACTGAGATGCAGGGAGCTTTAGCAAGTGTGCAGATTTCTCGTTGGAGATCCTACACTGAGAACTTAAATGCCCACAGTACCTGCCTCCCTGCGGGTAAGTAAACGTGTACTGAGAAGCGCCCTTTCTTTGTCAAAAGCCCTTAAAAACTGAAGTGCTTGTTTGCATTGGGGAGCTGAAAGGTTCCCTTCCTGGGAAATGTCTCTTAAGGCAAAGGCTGGTGTTCCGGAAGCCCAGACGGGCTGCAGACACACCTGCTGCACTGCAAATGGGCACCGTAACTCTTGACCTCTTCTCACAGCTTAGGGATGAAGACATACCTTCTACCCATTTTACAGAAAAGAAAGTGGAGGCTCAGAGCGGAAAGCGTGGTCATTTCCCTGTCAGTCAATAATATTCAGAAATTTGGGATTCAAATCTAGGGCTCCTGACAAACAGTATTACTGCCATACCATTTCCACCTCACTGGGCTGTGGGACTTTAACACGTTAAGCACCCAGTCAGTCGTCGGTGACTGACACTATTACTTTCTGTCCGGAAGACAAAACAGGCTGGGCCCTTAACGTGTTAAACTTCTGCCTATCAGCATGCCATGATCCCGCTGAGGCTCCTCTTTTAACCAAAGAACCCTCATGACAACAGACAAGGAAGATACCCAACACTACAAAGCAAGGGCAAATTGCATTATCAGATGACTGGTCTTGTGAAAGTGATAGAGAACGTTAGTACTGTGCATTAAAATGTAAAATATTCACTGCATTGTGCATAGCATTTAAAAACAAACAAAAAATGTTCCCATGGTGAGGCTAGGTGGTTGAGTATCGAACCATGCACAAAGAGCTCCCCCGTTTGATTTGGAGTGAGGGCACATGCCTGGGTTGAGGGCTCCATCCCCAGGAGTGGCGTGCAGGAGGCAGCCAATTGATGTTAATGCACTCATGTTTCTATGTCTCTCTCTCTCTCACTCTTTCTGTAAAATCAATAAAAAACATTTTCTTTTAAAATATGTTCTTATTTTTAAAAATATCTTTTTATTTATTTCAGAGAGAAGGGGAGAGGGAGAGACAGAAATATCAACGAAGAGAATCATTGATTGGCTGCCTTCTGAACACCCCCTACTGGGGACCAAGCCGGCAAACCAGGTGTATGCTTGTGACTGGAATCAAACTTGGGGCCCTTCAGTCCACAGGCTGATACTCTATCCACTGAGCCAAACCAGCTAGGGCTAAAATATGTTTTTAATGACTTCACAGAAGGGAGCGGGAGAGAGAGATAGAAACATCAAAGACGAGAGAGAATCATTGATCAGATCACTCCTGTATGCACCCTACTGGGGACGAAGCCCACAATTCGGGCATGTGCCCTTGACCAGTATCAAACTAGGGCCCTTCAGTCTGCAGGCCAATGCTCTATTCACTGATCCAAAATGTCTACAGCTATATTTTTTAAAAGGTAAAAAATATTATATCATTCCAATATAAAAAAATTATTTCCTAAATCAAAAATAGAACAAAATGAGTGAAATTCCAACATCCACCTTTGTCGTTCCAATGTGTTTTTGTTAAAGAAAATTGCCAAAAAAGCACATTAGGCAGAACATATGATCAGCAGTTTTAATAAAGATACAGACACATCAAATACACATCAGACAAAAGACTCACCATAAATTTCTAGAAAAAAATACAACCAAACAGTGAGGTAGCAGGACAAAGTTACCAAAAAAAATTGTTTACCTAAAGAATGATTGACCAAACAAAAGGTTCTCTAGAATGTGAATGTATATCCCTCACAGACTGTTGTAGAAATGCAAAAACGTACAATCAGTTAATGCTTATTTTTTATTCTTAAAGAAGAGTTTACTAATTTTTAGGGAGAGAAGGGAGAGGAAGAGAAACAGTGATGGAAGAGTGCCATATTGGCCAGCCACCTCCTGCACACCCACTTCCATGGATCTAACCCATAACCCAGGCACATATCCCCACCGACAATCAAATCCATAACCCTGTGGTGTATGGGAAGATGCCCAAGCACTGAGCCACACCAGCCTGGGTAGTATATGCAGTTTAGACAATTTGCTAATCTCTGTAAATATAAACATTCACCCAACAACTCAGATTATACAAATATCTGACAAAAGTCAATAACACTTATCCTATATAATAAAAGCCTAAAATGCTAAGTGTCTAGTCAGCCATTCAACCAATCAAAGTGTAATATGCTAATGATATGCTAAGGCGGCTCAATTGCTCGCTATGATGTGCACTGACCACCAGGGGGCAGACACTCCTACAGTTAGGTAAGCTTTCAGCTGGTCCAGTTGATCCGGACTGAGCAAGACAGGCCAGACAAGCCCTGAAGCCCTCCCCAGGTCCCTCGCTGGCTAGCCAACCTTCTGTATCCCTCCCCGGCTCCGATCATGCACTGGTGGGGTCCTGTGGCCTGGCATGAGCCCTGTAGCAATCCAGGACCCCTGGGGGATATCGGTGAGCTGGTTTCAGCATGATCCCACAGGCCAGGCTGAGGCACCCCACTGGTGCATGAATACGTGCACTAGGAATCTGTATGCTATAAAGATTTATACAGAAATGTTTGTATCAGCTTTATTAAATAAATATTTATAAAAAATGGATAAACTGTTGGTGATAAATTCAAATATACGATTGTTTCTCAGAACAAAAAAAAGGTGAGTTACTAATATATCTTTAATAAAACTCCAAGTGTGGATGAAACATAAATTAAAGCAGAAATATATTTAGAAAATATAATCTATTAAAAAGGAATGTAAATCCATGGTTACTAGGAAAGCTGTAAAGAACAGGGAGAGATTAAAAGAGGTCATGAAGCAAGTTCACAGTGACAGATATGGTCAGGATTATGTGTATAAATGATGGTTTCAGTTTCACGCACATGTTAAGATTTATGAGACACTATACTTCACAAAAGCGACATCCCTGGACTAAAGACACCCTTTGTCTTTGTCTTGGTTTTGCTGCCAGCACACCAATGGCTCTGATGGGAACATATAGGAGGTGACAGGAAGCCACAGAACCTCGATTATATTCAATGACATTCATTGCTCTACAGAAGATAAACATGCCTGGAGTCCCTCAGATCTGTGTACACACCACTCCTATAGTCTTTTCCTCAGAAACATTCCTGGATGCACAGTTAGATGAGGACCATTCCACTTGATGGGCTGCAGTCTCGTCCAACAACAACTAGGTGAGTGTTTCTGCAGTGAAAGGGTTTCCTCTCACTGCAATGGTCCTCCAACCAGTGACCATCACCCATGGAATTGAAGGCATCAGGGCACATGGCCCTCTGCAAAACCTTCTATTGTCTTAGTATCCCTTGAACAAAAGAAAAAAATTCACACTGCTCCCAAACATACTTGAGATTGTCACAGCTACCCCCTCTTTGGAGTGATCTCTGAGTCTCAAAGCATCCATCTTCAAACGAGGACTAGACTCCACAGTCCTAGAATACAGTGTTTCCTAGGAAAATATGGGCAAGAATGTAAATTTAGAAAAAACTACTGAGCTAATTTCTGCATCATAGTCTCCCCAAAGAGAAAAAATGTTTGAGACTTCATATAAGTTTTTCACCTCATCATGCTTGGAGAGCCCAGACCTCCTTATAAATTAACCCATAGAGTCAATAGAACACCCAACATTAAAGCAATCTTACGGAAAAGCCTTCATTATTTCAAAAACCAAAGAGACATGAGACTGGCAGTTCTTCCACTGATGACTTAGGCACTCAATAAATTAATCACTGGCATTCAGGGAAAGCATGTCCCTGAAAATGGCAGTTCCTCTGCAACATTATGTTTCTTGGGGCCAACAGTAATGAATCCTATGTGGCAACTCATAACAAGAAACAAGTAAGAACTAAGGGCTCAGGTATTCCTCATTTTCTTCAACAAATTAGACAAAGAGTTAGCTTCCCTGGGCACATGAGGATGGTGATTGATGCCATCTGTAGGGACCTTATAGGTCCTCCAACCAGTGACCATCACCCATGGAATTGAAGGCATCAGGGCACATGGCCCTCTGCAAAACCATTAATGGAGGACCATTAAGAACAGGGAGAGCTCTAGCTGGTTTGGCTCAGTGGATTGAGTGTTGGCCTGCGGACTGAAGGGTCCCGGGTTCGATTCCAGTCAAGGGCACATGCCTGGGTGGCTGGCTCGATCCCTGGTAGGGGCTGTGCAGGAGGCAGCTGATCCATGATTCTCTCTCATCACTGAAGTTTCTCTCTCTCTCTCCCTCTCCCTTCCTCTCTGAACTCAATAAAAATATATTAAAAAAAAAAAAAAAAGAACAGGGAGAGATTAAAAGAGGTCATGGGTGATGGTCACTGGTTGGAGGACCATTAAGAACAGGGAGAGCGCGTGCTGGTTTGGCTCAGTGGATTGAGTGTTGGCCTGCGGACTGAAGGGTCCCGGGTTCGATTCCAGTCAAGGGCACATGCCTGGGTGGCTGGCTCGATCCCTGGTAGGGGCTGTGCAGGAGGCAGCTGATCCATGATTCTCTCTCATCACTGAAGTTTCTCTCTCTCTCTCCCTCTCCCTTCCTCTCTGAACTCAATAAAAATATATTAAAAAAAAAAAAAAAAAGAACAGGGAGAGATTAAAAGAGGTCATGGGTGATGGTCACTGGTTGGAGGACCATTAAGGATAGGTGGTTCAGGTGAAATACCTTCAGCAACAGAAATATGCAGTGACGTAGACCTGGGAACACCTCTCTGCATGTTAGAAAGTGCAACATAGATACATATGATACCAACACAAATACTAACAAACACAACAACAAAAACAGTTGGGGGGATGTTACATAATGTAGGTGATTAAATGTATGAGATATAATTCAGACAAATGAGGCTTCACAAATTCTATTGTTAAGTCGTAACTAAGAAACTACATTTCCTATACATCTAAGAAATTTCTCACATTTAGGCTCTTTTGTGCAGAGCATATTTAGAAATTTGGCTGTGAGAGAACTCACATTAATTATAATGGCTTTCTCCAATGTGAACTCTCTGATGATATCGGAGACCATTGCTCCTTGAAAAAGATTTCTCACATTCACTTCATTTACAAGGCTTTTCTCCTGTATGAACTCTCTGATGACGACGCAGGGTAATGCTCCAGGTAAAATGTTTCTCACATTCACTGCATTTATAAGGCTTTTCTCCAGTGTGAATTCTCTGATGACAATGAAGGGCAGTGCTGCTGCTAAAAGATTTTCCACATTCACTGCATTTATAAGGCTTTTCTCCAGTGTGAATTCTCTGATGACAATGAAGGTCACTGCTAGTGGTAAAAGATTTCCCACACTCACTGCATTTATAAGGCCTTTCTCCAGTGTGAACTCTCTGATGACGACGAAGGTCAGTGCTTCTGGGAAAAGATTTCCCACATTCATTGCATTCATAAGGCCTTTCTCCACTATGAACACTCAGGTGATAATGGAGGCCATTTCTACTGGTAAAAGCTTTCCCACATTCAGAGCACACAAAACACTGACTTCCAGCATGTACACCCTTTTCCTGAATAAAGGTGTAGGTGCAATTAATGTCTTTCTTATATTCTTTTCTGCTGAAATAATTTTTTCTCCTTTGAAACGTCATCCCTGGCGCTGAAATAGCATTTGGACTGTCCCTGGTCTGAGGAGCCTTTAGGTGGAGATGTCTTGATTCGGTAAGGACACCCTGCCCAACCTCCCCGCATGTGAAACGATTCTGGGACACATTGAAATTGCAGCTGTTTGCAAGTGAGATCCTGTCCACACCTCTAATGAGAGTCTTTTCTCTCACATGCTGCTGGTGAAATTTTACACTGAAGTAAAACCGATTTGCACATGCCCCACACCTCAACAGTATCTGTCCGTGTTGTGTTCCCTGTCCCTCCAACATGTGGAAAATGTTTCCCAAGACTAGTCCACAATTCTCACAGGGGTGGTTCTTCTGGGAAGACAAGGCTAACTTGGGATTCCTTGCCTGTGACATTCTTACAGAAATGTTCTTCTCGGTCGCTGCTTCCACATTCTCTGCTCCACAGCAGCAACCTGAACAAAATGAAACGCTGGTGAGGTACATGTTGACCTTATGAAAACAGTATCTTAACCAGAGATGTTTACCTGTCATGACTGGACATGATTCCATAGAAAGATTTTCAAGACAAGTGAGTTATACTCTGAGGAAACAGCTGTTATACTTTTCTTGGCCCCAAAGGTCAGTGGATGATGAAAATCTTACCAAGAAAGGGAAAGAAACACAGGATGAGACACAAAGAGGAGAGGAAGGGTCTGCTAGTTGTTCCTCCAGAAATGGCTTCTGTTAGGAACTTTCATGCTGGTGACGTGAGTCTATGTAGAATAACTTGAATCTGCTCAAACCCATAAAAATCAATTGTATTAGAGCACATGATGTTCTACCTCAATACAGTAATAGGTGTGCACTCTGAGACTCTGCAGGCATGGACCAACGGTGGAGGGTATAGAGAGACCTGTGAAAGAAGGAGAGGTGAAAAGTTTAGAGAGGTTAGGTTATCCATGGACTGGGAATCCAAGGAGAATGAGCACTGATCACTATTAAAACTGGGTCGTTGGCACAGTGTCAACAAAAAGCAAGGACAAGTAGAATTGGTTGAGGAACGGGCAATGGTAACAAAACACTGTTGAACCAAATGGGTTCCTAGTTATGAATGTAACAAAGCCCAGGGTGTAAAAACCTCCCCAACAGCCCTTTACTCAGGCAACACAGCCTGTTGATCAATTGTGTCATTCATAAAGTCATGTTTCTGTGATGCAGAAATGATTCTTCTGCTTAATTCCCAGTTGAGCCATTGCACAGGATAAATGATAGAAATCGTAAAAGAAACATTGAAAAGATGGCCGGTCAACACTGTAGTACAACAGCAAAGCACAGATGAGATCACAGGCAAAAGAGCTATGGGAGTGACATCATCAAGAGGGCAGAATCAGAGATATGAGAATCTCTCCCCATCCCAGTGTAAGACAGACAGCTATCCATGAACAAAAACCCACAGGAAATGGGAATAAGAGTACCATGAAGACAAACAGTATTACAGACACAAATAAAGGAGAACTGTACAGAAAGGATGACTGGAAAAGGCTGGGTGAACAAACGTATTTGCAGATAGCTACAGTCAAAAACAAGGGTCAGTTTACCTCCATCAACTATTGTGCTTCTGCTATCATTGACAATAGTGGCCTGTTATTTGAAAAATACTGGAAATTTTGTTTAAGAACCACAGAATGGCCCTAGCCAGTTTGGCTCAGTGGATAGAGCATAGGCCTGCAGACTGAAGGGTCCCAGGTACAATTGCGGTTAAGGGCACATGCCTGGGTTTTGGGCTCGATCCCCAGTAGGGGGAGTGCAGGAGGCAGCCGATCAATGATTCTCTCCCATCATTAAAGTTTCTATCTCACCCTCTCCTTTCCTCTCTGAAATCAATAAAAATGTTTTTTAAAATACCCACAGAATACCCTGGCCAGTGTGGCTCAGTTGGTTGGAGCATCGTCCTGTGACCCCATGACCCTAGGGATTTTGGATTCAATTCCAAGTCAGGGCACATATCAGCATGTAGGTTCCATTTCCAGGTAAGACATGTGTGTAGACAACCGACTGATGTTTCTCCATCACAATGATGTTTCTCTCAGTCTCTCCTCCCTCCCTCCCTCTCTCTCTCCATCTCCATCTCTCTTCCTCTCTATCTGAAACCTATAATAAATAAATAAATAAATAAAAAGTCCAGGGTAGCCAAACAAAAAGGAGAACTCAAAAAATCTAGAGACAAAGTAAATGAAAAGACTACCTACCAAAGCTCATGTATAGAATTCAGAAAATGCAATTCCAAGAGGCAATTTTATAGGGTAAATGCCTACATTAGGAAAAATGATCTCTAAAAATACTGGCTCCTCAGAAAACTAGAAACACAACTAGAAAGCAAACCCAAAGGTTGCACAGGAAAGAAACAATAAAAATTAGAATAAACATAAATAAAAGGGAGACAAGACAAAATACAAGAATACCTAACAGGTATTTTTTTTTAAAAGATACAAAATTGGAAAAACTTTAGCTATACAACTGGAGAAACAAAACAAAACAAAAACCAAGCCTCAAATAAATTGAAAAGAAATGACAGATAAGACATCACACCTGACACTATGAACCACAAAGCATCATAAGAGATGTTGATGTTAGCGGATAACATGACCCTCCATAAAGAAATTCGTCAAGATCCCAGATGAGCATCTGAAATTAATAAACAAATTCAGAGACCCGGCCAGACAGCTCAGTTGGTGAGTGTGTGAACCACGGTTATGGGTTTGATCCCCCATCAGAGGACATGCAGGGGACAGCCAATGAACACTTAGATGGGTAGAACAGCAGATCAATGTTTCCGTCTCTCTCTTTCTCTGTCTCCCTTCTTGTCTCTAAAATCAATAAATGAAGGATGGCTAATACGGCTCAGTGATTGAATATTAACCCATGAACTAGGAGGCCACAATTCAATTTCTTGTCCGGGCACATGCACAGGTTGTGGGCTCAATCACCAGTGTGCATCATGCAGGAGGCAGCCCATTAAAGACTATCTCTCATCACTGATGTTTCAATCTCTCTCCTCCTCTTCCTCTCTAAAATCAACAAAAAAAATGTTTTAAAAATATTTTAAAGTATGAATAAATAGCCCTGGGCCATGTGCTCAGCGATGAGAGTGCAGGACTATGCACTGGAGGGTCATGGGTTAGATTCCCAGGACCTGGGTTGCAGGTCTGATATTGCTACCAGTAGGAGCACATGTGGAAGGCGACCAATTGATGTTTCTCTCTCTCTCTCTTAAAGAAAATCAATGAAAAAAATATTCACACTACATAGATGAAGATAAAATAAGGATAAAGAATTAAATTCAGCCGAACCGGTTTGGCTCAAGTGGATAGAGCCTCGGCCTGCGGACTGAAGGGTCCCGGGTTCGATTCCGGTCAAGGGCATGCACTTTGGTTGTGGGTACATCCCCAGTCGGGGGCGTGCAGGAGGCAGCTGATTGATGTTTCTCTCTCATCGATGTTTCTAACTCTCTATCCCTCTCCCTTCCTCTCTATAAAAAACCAATAAAATATATTTTAAAAAATTAAATTCAGAAAAGTTACAGGATGCAAAGTAAACATACAAACATTAGTTCCATTTCTACACACTAACAATAAATTCTTTGATAGAAAAACGAAGAAGGTAGTCAAATTTAAAATAGCATGAACAAAATAAAATACTCACAAATGGAGAACCAAGATGGCGGCATAGGTTAACGCCAGAGTTTGCTGCCTCGTACAACCACTTCAAAAATACAACTAAAAGATAGAACGGACATCATCCAGAACCACAGGAAGGCTGGCTGAGTGGAAGCTCTACAACTAGGAGGAAAGAAAATAACATACCGAGACTCAGAGGAGGCGCAGTGCTGAAGTCAA